TAAGTAAGTAAGTAGGTGGGTGGGGTGGGGTGGGGGATTGTGATACTCATTAACATGAGCATCTCAACAGAACAAGGGAGGACACTGTACAAGTTCTTGCAGCTGGCGTTGCAAAAGATAACTCACAAATTTCCCGTAGGAACTCAAGTTGGTCCTTTGGAACTGGTCCAACCGGATGCATCAGTGTCTTCAGAAGATTTCGAGTCTTTATTTTTCTCCATGGTTTGTTGAATACCTTCTTGATATCCTTGTATGAAACTTTTAAGTGCATCTTTATATGCAGAAGCTCTTGTCATGTAGACTCGTTGCAGTGCTGGTCGTAGTGTCTCCATTCCGCCTCTTGCAGCCACAGCTAGGGATAAAATGTGCAAAGGTGTCATAACTCAATTTAGAAACGATTTGAACGCAGCTGAAAGGGTTTATTTACTAATTGAAGAAACTACAAGAAATATACAATGACAATATTGAAAATGTCACACAATCGGTTATACAACTTTATCTGGAAAATTAACTCTCATGAGTAAATTCTCAAGAAACACTCAAGAAGCTAATTGATTGTTCACACCTACAATAATGAATAAAATTCAAAAGAACAAAGCTTAAGTTTATCCAGGAATATGTCCTCAAAAGTTGCCCAAGCTTTCAGCTTTAAGGGTTCACTTCTTACTTCTTAGACTTGTTATGGATGATATTGTTGGAAATATACAGACTATAATTATATGTTATTTGTCGAGAACATAATCTTAAAACTCATTCTGAGTTTCAAAACCTAGGACTTTAGAGATTAGGATCAAAGATTCACAGGATCAAAATAGAATGCACTTATTGATGAATGCTTAGCACCATTATGATTTCATTCAAGAAGACTGGAGAGTCGAGAAAACAAGGTGACTAGTAGAAATTCAGGTCTTGAAACTAACATACAGGACAATAGATGCCACTGGAAATTTCACTAGAAATAGGATAAGAGTTAAGAGGCTAGAAGTTTTGAATAATATGAAGTTAAGAAGAAAAATATATAGAGCTTAACAGAAGAATCCATGTGGCTTCTGGCCTAAAAGTAGAGCATGTCAAACAGTAAAAGCTACACATACCATAAAATAAGCATGGTTGATTCAGAATTTTGAGATGGATAGATGATAAAGTAGTAAGATATGCCATACATAATTAACAAAAACAAAAACAAAAAACGTAAATAGAAATTAGATTATGATGTTACAATGCAACTTTACAATTATTATTAATTTGAATTAGGATTACTGATATTTGATATGGAAAGAGGTTTTCAAAACACAAAATGAACAAATAGATTAGTGATTGACATGGGTATTGACAGAACTAAACGGATTAAACGGATTCTCAGATAATTGTCTAAACCTGAGAAAAATTTGGTTGCATCAAGTCAACCATCAGGTGTTTGAACATCAAAAGATCATCGGAGCATCAAAAAGCATGACAGAAATCTTTGGTTATTTTCCCCACAAATTAATTTACCAAAAGCTTCTCATAATCCTCCAATTTAAAAATACTTTACCAATATGAGTCGAACAATGATAATTCAATTAGGTGCCTACATTCAACCACATGGAGTTTTAACATCAAAAGGCCATCAGAGTATCAGATAGTATGACAAGAAATATCCTTTGAATTTACTTCCCCTTTATAACATCTAACTTTCCAAAAGCTTAATATAATCCTAGATAGTTACAGTTATGAGCCTAAACCACGATAATTCAATGAAAACTCTAAGACAAACTTACACAATCCCAAGAAAGCCACCAACAACAACCCGGTATAATCCCAAGAAAACCAAAATGGTGAAAAACAATTTATTCAAGAGACTCATCACGAGATAGGCAATTTCTACTGGCAGTTAACTTTCTCAATCTCTTTCTTAAATAGGCAGAAAATTTGGCTGCATCTAATTAGACATAGGCTTCCTACGCCAGTGCAGTATTGCCACAGGTGAAAGAAATGTGTCAAGTGCAAAGGGCAATTAAGGTGCTTTTTAGTAAACAAAGATGAAAAAAAAAATTATATAAGTAATGCAAGACAATATAACTATAATCACAAACAACAATTATAGGGACCACGATATTACAGAAACAAGTAAATTAACATAGATGAAGTAAGACCAAGTTAATCAAGTTCAGAGACCAATTTAAATCTCTGATTAAAAATGCAATTATAGGTTTCTAATTTAGACGAGTGATTAGCTTTCTCATAACCCCACAAATATGAGCAAAGCACAGCAGTTCCCATTTCCAGATAAAGAATAAGGTATATGTTAGGTAGACGGCTAATGTGAAAATTGTCAAACTATGATGAGTCCTCTGAAAAATAAAATGAACTTAAACAGAGTGTAACGGATATAGACGATCCTTGCAGCCAACCTGAACTGATTCGGGATTGATGTTAGTTGATTGATTGCATCAGTAACATGGTCATTCACAACCCTTAATAATTAGTAAGTATATCATTTTACCAACTATATTTATTATTTAGTGTTGCGTGATAGAGCCAGTGGGTGTTGAGGCACACTCTTATGCGTTTTGATGCTTGCACTGAAGTGCCACCTAAGCGAGGTAAAACACCCAACCGTTGTTGCACCTAGCTTCAGAGCTTAAAGCGGATTTTTAACAACTAGCATGGAAAAGCGCATTTAGAATAGCTTAAGTCCTAGTTGCAAAATTTAACATGTCGAAGAAATGAAGTGCTGCTCATATTATCATTCTAGTGGAAACTCAGAGCAAATACTGTTTATTTCATCACAAGCAAGAAAAAAAAACTAAATGTGACTCCTTGACCAAATACGTAATTAAACAATCTAATAGATAGAGAAGGATAGAGAACCTACCGAGACTGCAGTCAGCTTCTATATAATCCTGGATTGAATCCAAGGTATCATCAGAAGGAAAAGAAAAATGTGTAGCGAGCCACAAACTTTTTTTTGGGAATATAGTGAACCGCAAATAATTCAGCACTATACAGAACTTTTACAAACATATATCTAAGACCTGGTGCTTTTGACCTTCTAGACTTTCATAACGGGAATCTCAGCAACACTTCGTTGAAACTTTAAAATTCAGCAACCTCTACTGTAACAAGCTCTATTGTTAAATAGTTACAGAGGTTGTGTCTGTTACACTTTATTCTCAAGAATCCAGAATCCTTGTAATACCATTTCCGGGGAAAAAAGACCCAAACCGAAACAGTTGCAAAGTGCAAACTACTTCCAAATTCCAACTAGAAGCAAGAATTTATGAAATGAACATCTTCCAGGGATAGAAACAGCCTCTTGAGGTTTTAGAACTTTCAACTAGCTCGGATCCAGAGTGTCATTTCGCAGCTCAGTTCTACTAAGGAAAACAGCCAGAGGCCCAGATTACGGGCAGAACGACCTGGTAACAGGAAGGTGTTTCCTGCAGTGGCGAAGCCACATGGTTATAAGGGTGGTCAACTGACCATCCTTCCCCGAAAAATTATATTGTGTATATATGTAAAATATTACGTTTTAGGGGTATATAACACAAATTGAACACTCTTTGTCGGAATTTTTTTTCCGCTTCTTTTAAATTTGAACACCCTTGGGAAAATCTCTAACTTCGTCACTGGTTTCCTGGTGACTAACTTAATATGAATAGATTAATAACATGACATCCAATCTTTTTCAATATGGAGGATAAAAAGGATTGACAGAATGGTTCTGCCTACTCAGACTGAAAAGGGCGTGCTGACTTCCTTTTTTTTTTTGGGCTGTCCTATGGCTTTTTAAATAAAAGGGCATGTAACCAAACAATAGAGCTTATGTTCTTAGAAACACTCCCACCATTCATATAAAGATATCATTCTTACCAGAAAGAAGTAGGGAGATTGTCCTAGAATGTATAAATAGACATATCTTTTTAGTACAATATATTAGATCAAAAGTATTACTACTCATCCAGCATATCTCTGGTAAAGTTTCAAGTACAAAAAAGTAAGAGAAGAGCAATCACATATGAAAGACAACTGGTCAGGTATTTTACCTAGATCCTCTAACGTCGACGGTTCCTTCTGCTTTCTGCTACCATATTCTTCGTCTGACTCGTCTTCAATCTCACGCTTCTTTTTGTAATCATTGGGCCGAAGTTCTGGACCAATGTCTCTCACCCAGCTTGCAGCATAAAGTCTAGATGCTTCCTTCAGCACCTGAATCAAAGTTACCAAGAACAAAAGGTAATTTATGATAAATGCATCATCATAATTCATTACCACAATATCTTACCAGAAAGAATAAAGAGAACACTCACAAGATAGCGCTCCTTCAAAGATAGTTTCCTACGTTTTTTGATGTGGGGAGGATCCGGTAAAGATGAAGGAAAAGCAATCTCCTTCAGATCATATCGAACATAATCAGATACTTTCCTCCAAACTATCTTCAGCTTCATTTGAATCTTGAATTATCTTTACATATAATGCATGAACTCCAAGTTAGTTCATGATCAAACAATATAAACACCTACATACAGGTGAGCATGCATAAACTGTTCATAGGCGAGAAATTAAAGGTCTTCGGAGTCCTCTCTCTGACCCAAGAACCACTTACTTTCCTTAAAAAAATATAACTGACGAAAGGGTGCAAGGCAGAGAAACTCATTTTAACTGTTGAATCAACTTATAGAAACAATCATGATGGATCAAAATTATGTCTCCTTGATTAAAGCCTCCTTTTTATGTTTATTGTGAAAATAAGTTCTAATTAACATCCTAAAGTCATGTATGAGACTTATTAATCCATTGTTAGATATTTATAGTCTACTAATGAAGAAATCATTACAAGTCCGTGTGTGTATGTACGTGCTTCCGCTAAAAAGATTGCCAATGGAATTAAGCGGATTCAGGATTTAAAGATTATGTGCTCCTATAGCGACATTAACTTAATATACAATTGCGAGAAAGCACGGGAGAATATTTTTTATTCACCTTTTTTAACAATGATACAATGAGTCCTATTTATACATAATACATGTCCTACTCCTACTACATATGGGATTAAGGCTATTTACATGTAACTATTTAACTACCAAACTAACACTCCCCCCCCCCCCCCCAAAGCCGGTGCATATAAATCATATGTACCGAACTTGTTACATATATAACTAATACGAGGACCAGTGAGGGACTTTGAAAATATCAGCAAGCTGATCATTCGACTTCACAAATTTTGTAGCAATATCTCCTAAGAGTATCTTTTCTCTAATGAAGTGACAATCAATCTCAATGTGTTTAGTCCTCTCATGGAACACCGGATTTGATGCAATATGAAGGGCAGCTTGACTATCGCACACAAGTTCCATCTGGCTGATTTCACCAAATTTCAACTCCTTGAGTAATTGTTTGATCCAAATTAGCTCACATGTTGCCATAGCCATTGCTCGATATTCTGCTTCTGCACTAGACCGAGCAACTACATTCTGTTTCTTGCTCTTCCAAGACACCAAATTGCCTCCTACTTAACACAATATCCAGACGTAAAACGTCTATCAGAAGGTGATCCCGCCCAATCAGCATCTGAGTATCCAACGATCTGCGCATGGCCTCGATCCTCAAACAATAACCCTTTGCCTGGAGTTGATTTTATATACCGAAGAATGCGGCAACTGCATCCTAATGACTATCAGAGGGAGAATCCATAAACTGACTTACAACGCTCTCAGGAAAGGAAATGTCAGGTCTAGTCACTGTGAGATAATTTAATTTATCAACCAGCCGCCTATATCTTGCAGGATCGCTAAGCGGCTCCCCCTGTCCCGGCAGAAGTTTATAATTCGGATCCATCGGAGTGTCAATCAGTCTACAACCTGTCATTCATGTCTTCTCAAGAATGTCTAAGGCATACTTCCGATGTGAGATTACAATACCTGAGCTAGACTGAGTGACCTCAATACCCAGAAAATACTTTAGTTTGCCCAGATCCTTAGTCTGAAAGTGTTGAAAGAGATGTTGCTTCAATTTGGTAATACCTGTCACATCCCTTTTTTTTTCACCCCTCAATAACCCTCTTAAAAATATTAAAAGGATTAGTAAAGCTCAAAAGGGTTTTCAATTAGAAAGTGACAAAATTGTGTTCAAAAGGAAATAACTCAGAGTCGCCACCTGGCATTAGTTTCGGTGTGCCAGGTCACCGTTTTTTTTAAAAATGATTTTCCTTTTAAAACACTTTGGACTCCAAAACTAAGTCTGCACCAGAGATTCGGGTAAGGGGTTTCATTTGACTCGGGGAGAAGGTGTTAGGCATTCCCCGAGTCCCGTAACTAGTACGGTTGCATACTTGATCTAGTCGGCTTTTAAGATATTCAAATTGAGGTTAGAGTAAACATACAAAAGAAAATAAACACACAAAATAGGCTCGAGGTCGACCCCACCTAATAAAAACTAAAATAAAATAGAAATGAAAATCCTATTCTATGCTTTCTCAAATTGTTCCATCTTTAGGCCTTCAAATCCAAATACTTCGGGGCATCCCCGGGAAAAAAACTATATACAAATCCTTACGGGGTCATTCCCCGGATAAATTAACTAAGGGAACGACCTCTCGCTTCAAACTAAAAAATATTAAGGCTTGCCTACCCAAGCGTGGTCGGCCTAAGCATACTACTAGAGGGTCAATTAGTGAAATGAGAATAAATAGCAACAGAAATTATCCTACGCAAAAATCTTCCTTTAACTCTTACAAACAAAAACCCATTAACTTTATAACTGTTGAGGTTCTTTCACTAATTTGTTTAACTCAAACTCATGGCTCAATCTTTCTTAACAAATTCAGCCCGAGCCTTACTATGATGAAGTTATAGCCCACACAAGTTAGCTAGATTAGCCCCTTAGAACTCATTTGTAACACATTTCCGTGAAGTAAACTAACTGATAACAAGTATACAAGTTAGAGTAATGGACACAAACAATCAACGCAAAAAGAAACAATCAGTATGCATTCATCTTCATCCAACATTCACGAGAATCACAGAATAAGCATTCAAAGAGCAAAGTAAGAATTGAACCTCAGTGTTGAGTCGAAACTCCTCTGAAAGTCAGATGGATGGCAGAACTTCAAGCCAAATTACGCAGCAAATTCAAAAGATTATTCGAAGACTGGCGAGAACTTAACCGAAACATACCCCTGAATTCGAACCGAAATTACCACGAACGCAAGCACACAAAGAAACTTCGAAAAATTCCAACACAGAGCTTAATCGCAAAGCTCGAACCAGTGAATTTGGTTTGGCGAAAACTCAAACACAGAGCTAAGTAGCCAAATATTCAGACGCAAAATTTGGGAACGCAAGAGTCGTACAGAGTGACCAACATATCTATCAAAATGAAAGGTCGACCAAGTACAACTGACTAAAACTGGACCAAGAATCACGACATTAACCTCGGACAGCACCTCGCGACGGACTCAAACCTCCTCAAAAGAAACCTCGAATGGATGGGGGTTCTGTTTCAGTGATGGTTATGGAGTTCCGGCGGAAAACAGTGACAATAGGTAATCAGGGAAAACTCGAACGAGAACGACGAACTGACTTTGAACAGCCGCACCTTAGTCGAACTCGAACCAACAAACTCAAACCAACAAACTCAAACGAGTTCCATAATAAAACAGAAATCGGAATCAGGAAGAAGACGATTGAAACCTATTTTTTGTTTGATTTTCTGGTATTTATTTCCACACTCTGTTTTTTTTTTTTTTTTTGTTCTTCTATGTGTGTGTGTGTGTTTTTTAGGCTTAAGAGATCTTGTAGCCGCTGCAGCTGGTTTCGAAGAGATGAGGGTCGCCGGTTCTGTGAGTTCCGTTTGGAAGCGGGCAGCGGCGCACGGGGCTGGTTTTAAGAGCGACGGCGGCTGCCGGGTGTGCGGCTGGAGGAGACGGTCGGAGGGGTAAGGTTTGTCGCTGATGGCTTCTGGTTTTTGAGAGGGAGTTGGTTGGTTGGTTGGTTTGGAGGAGAGCAGCGATGGCTTCTGCTCTTGGGGTGTGAGATGAAGAAGCTATGGTGTTGGAGAATTGGTGGGGTGTGGATGGCTGGTTTTTTTAGACTAAAGGAGGAGGGGTCGGCGGCTTTAGGTGGTCCTGTCAGGGACGTGGTCGGCGCCTGACTTAGATGTGAAGAAGAAGGTGACGGCTTGGTTCAAGGGGTCTGTTTTCTTATGTGTATTAAGGTGAAGAAGAAGAAGGGTTAGGGAAGGGTCAAAGAAGAAGGGGTCATGGGCAAAATAGTTGAAAATGGATTCCTCTAATTAAAATAAGACAAGGTAAAATCAATATTCACTCACATTTCCAAAGATAAAAATAAATAGCAAAATACTATTAGAATACTAGTAATTGAGTTTAACTAACATAAAATTTATATTGATATGAAACCATCATTTTTCAAAGATTATATATTAAAATGAAAGCAGAGAAAAGTCAATTAGAATGATAGCAAACTTAGATTAATATTACTACAAAAGACTAATAGCATTAACTTAAATAGAAAGATGAAAGACAAAATTGAAAATATTTTTGTATTTTCGAATTTTATATTCTACTATTAGACTAAAAGTGAAAAATAGGCTAAATCCTATTAAAATAAAAATAAGTAAATATATTTTAAAAATACTACTTTTAAAAGTTGCGGGGGTCAAAAATTACGTGCTTACAGCTGCCCCTCTTTGCTTGGAAACACGAAGAGTTTTCGGAGCAAAGAACAATAAGCAATGTAATTGATTTATGACCCGACGCTTATTCAAAAGAAAATAAAGATGGCCAAAAAGATTGTGACCGAGCCCTGGTATTTGAGCTGCCTACATATCCTTGGCTATAAAGGAATCAGGCCACGTGTAGTTCATAAGTAGGAACAGTGATTGAGTGTACCGAGGTGGAGAGCAGATTGAGGTGCCGTCGAGGTTCCGGTCCGCGATCCTGTTATTACATCAAATCAAAAAATGAAAAAGACTAACTAAGCCTGTCAACTTTGAGTTACAAGATTCCTATCTATAAGTCTTCTGAAGCTTGATCTTGAGTCTTGAATGGTTCTTCATGCAGACTTTAGATTTAAACCTTGACGCTTGCTAGTTGCAGGTGCTAGTTCATTCTTCTTCAGCTTTTCGGATCAGGACCGGACATGTAGTGCTTGTGACCTCATCCATGTCTTGAGCAGCTCACTTCTTTCATTTACTTCTGCATTTGGATTCACTTCTTGCTTTTTTTTTATTGTTCTGGATTGTGACTAACTTCTGTTGATCATCTCGGACTGTTGACTCGCATTATTGCCGCGAGCTTCTGCTACTTCTAACTTGAATTGAATTCCGAAATGACTTCCCTTGTTCTCCAGGTGGGCGCTTGATTGCCAAAACTTGAAATGTATTCCCTTGTTTTCAAGGTGGGCGCCTGATTGCCAAAACTTGAAATGTATTCCCTTGTTCTCTAGGTGGGCGCCTGATTGCCAAAACTTGAAATGTATTCCCTTGTTCTCCAGGTAGGCGCCTGATTGCCAAAACTTGAACTGTATTCCCTTGTTCTCCAGGTGGGCGCCTGATTGCCAAAATATGAATTGTATTCCCTTGTTCTCCAGGTGGGCGCCTGATTTCCAAAACTTGAACTAATTCCGAAATGAATTCCCTCATTCTCCAGGTGGGTGCCTGCAATCAAAACAACAAAACAAACAAAATTTTCTGCCCCTGTTTGCACTAGGAAGATTTGTGAGTTGTTAGCAAAACTATAAATCACCTATGCTATTGATGCAATGATGAGAGTAAAACCAAAGACTTGACTGGGATGTGCGTCTCCTGTGAATCAAACCGAGAATATTTGACTAGCAAGTGCGTCTGCTAAGAATAGAACCTGAATAACCCACACTAGGAAGTGCATATCCTAGATTTAAGATTGAGCTCGCGAAAAACTATAAACTAAGCTTGACTAATGTAAAAACTGACCCTACTCTCTAGGAGCCGGACCCCTGATTTCAAGAAAACTAAAGATTAATAACTTAAGAAAACTAAGAATTCATCAGACTAGGTTTTCTATCTTAGGAGAAAAATTCATCAAACTAAGATTTCTATCCTAGGAGAAAATTCATCAGACTAAGATTTCGATCCTAGGAGAAAATTAATAAGACTAGGTCTCTTATCTTAGGAGAAAGATTCATCGGACTAAGATTTTGATCCTAGGAGAAAGTTCATCAACTAGGTCCCTTTTTTGTTATCTTAGGAGAAAGATTCATCAGACTAAGATTTTCTATCCTAGGAGAAAATTCATCAGACTAGGTTTTCTTATCTTAGGAGAAAAATTCATCAGACTAAGATTTTTATCCTAGGAGAAAATTCATCAGACTAGGTTTTCTATCTTAGGAGAAAGATTCATCAGACTAAGATTTTTATCCTAGGAGAAAATTCATCAGACTAGGTTTTCTTGTCTTAGGAGAACGATTCATCAGACTAAGATTGCGATCCTAGGAGAAAATTCATCAGACTAGGTTTTCTTATCTTAGGAGAAAAATTCATCAGACTAAGATTTTTATCATAGGAGAAAATTCATCAGACTAGGTTTTCTTATATTAGGAGAACGATTCATCAGACTAAGATTTTTATCGTGGGAGAAAATTCATCATACTAGGTTTTCTATCTTAGGAGAAAAATTCATCAGACTAAGATTTGATTGGGAGGAAAATCCATCAGACTAGGACTTTTATCCTAGGAGGAAAATGTGAAGAGCAATGGCAACATTTTATGCACACTAACAAGACAGATAAAGGCAAAGTTTGAGAAGTTTCCCTTTGTCGGCTCTTCTTCTCCTTTTTCTTTTTCTCTTTTTTTTTTTAACCAACTTGCTTGCACCGCTTTGTTCCTGTTTCAAACAAAGAAAACTTGTGAGTTTAAAATGTGGTGGTTAGTTTGTGGCCTTGACTACGAGGGCTATTTCTCTTGCACTTGTCACGATCAACTCGGACTTCAACTTGCAAGACAGTGCTTGTTATCGACTACTTATTTTTTTCAACCCTTATCACAGAAAATACCTCTGCTCCATTCGATCCCAATATCCTCTATCTGTTGCATTTTGCTCGTGAATTGACATTTACGGAACCCTTGTATTTCACATGAATCCCAAAGCATGTTGATTGTTACCAACTCAATGCGCATACCACTTTTCCCTAACTTATGCCACTTTGATGTGCTGGCCAAATTTGTTTTGTGCAATTGGAAAGCTGTAGCAAATTTTGAAGTCATTTCTCACTTGTTCTGACCAAACAGACTTAAGAAAGGACTCAAACAAAACAAGAGGAACAAAATAAGGGACAATAGAAAGAGATGATACCTAACAAGAAAATTACAAAGTAGAAACTTATCAGATGTGGATACCAACTCTAACGACCATAACATGCACCTTTGGATTAAGTGGCCTAATCACTCAAGCAAGTCTAATATTCAACTCTTGTTGTACCTCTTCGCTGTGAAACTGGGCTTCAGCGCTTCAATTGTCCCATCTGATCCACAATTCTCAGTCGACTTGTAGTGCCCTGAAGGGTTTTCACCATCAAGCCTCTCTCATTTTGCTCTCTTCTCAACTCACCGTCGCCTTACGGTGCCCATGAGGGTTTTCACCGATAGGACTCTCTCAATTTATCATTTTTCTCTTTGTGCTGAGAACAAGGTATTACCCATGATACAAGAAGATCAGACTTTTACCACACACTTTATTTGGCATCCTCAAAGATTGGTCGGAAGGTCTTTCTTTGGATCGTAATGTAGGTTTTTGGACAGGGTTAGAAAGAAAGGGTGGCATGAAGGCTCAAAATAATTTAAGATAAAAGGTTTCAAAATTACAACTTTTGGAATCAGATCTTTTGGCAAAATTAAAACTTCTGCCCCAGTTTCTTGGAGTTTGGGGAATTTTTTTTTTTTTTTTGGATTTTTTTTTGGATTTTTTTTTGTCTTGATGGGATTTCTAAGAAAATCTGCCCCACTCTTGATTTCGGGGGATTATGAAATATTTTATTTGGTGTGACCGAACCGTAAGGCTGCCCACGTATCTTGAGGTGACAAGAATCAGGTCGAACGTAGTTCAAACACAAAGTTGGTTTTTTTTTCTTTCTTTATTTTTCTCTTTTTCCTTTTTTTTTCCTTTTTCTTCTTTTTCTCTTTTCTGGTTCCCAACTCTACTTCTGATTCCAAAAGAGGGGTATGGAACAAAGCAAATTAAGGCTCAAAATGGGTAGCAAAAGATAAAAGTGTTTGGGGTAGCAGAATAAAATGCCTTCGTCATACCAAACTTTAAAAATTCCAAGTGCAAACGTGCAATTGAAGATAAGCAAAGAAATCATGCACAATATCTATTGATGGCATCATCACAAACAGATAGTGCCGACGGGCAATACCTTTGTCCCGATGAATGATCCTCGCTAGTTCGAAGTACACTTAACTCAACCTTATATTGATGTGGAAGAATGCATTTCAACACTGACTGATCTACCTCAAACTGCTTGAGAGACATTCCCTTGTTGTATGCTCTCATCAGCCTCTTGATTTTCCAAACTAACTGCCTCAGTTTCACTCAATTCAAGCTCAGGTTATCTCAAAATGCGTGAATCTTTACTTGTTTCCTCAAATGCATCCTTTTATCATATTCAAAACTGTGTCATTGCTTCATGATTAAACTAACTTTCAAGACCGGGCTGAGAATTATGCGTGCATGTCATGTCACTAGAGTCAAGATGAAAAGAACTATAAAAGGAAAAGTAACCTAAACAAAAACTGACCAGAACTAATAGAAAACAGGAGATTGCATTAGACAGATGGTGAAAAGGGTTTGAACAAAACAAGCAAAATAGACATGGGTTGCAACCCTGGAACAATCCTAGATAACACTAGACGAATTACTACAACTAAACGAACTAGGCAAAATACAAAGAAGAAAGGTTTGAGCCACAAGACAATATCCAGATAACAACCCTGAAATAACCTGAAAAACAGAAATGACAACAAAATAAACCACCAAAAGTCCTCCCTGGCTAGCCAAAAAAGGAGTGTCTTTCCAATTACCAAGCTCGACATTTTAGCCACTAGACTACACATCAAAATTACTGGGACCTTCACCAGTTTCAATATCATTAACTTCAGTCACCAAGTTCCCAAGAGGATTCTCATACTCTATGTCACCATGCATCTTTCCCACAAGGTGTGCATCATCATGTGCGGGTAAAGGATTCTGCGCGATATTCTGGGTGTCACTGTCCTGG